ATTACATTGTATAGTTGATTTCACTCAAACCTAAAAGTCCGACTAAAATATCCGACAGCTAAACCAATTGGTTATATTAATATTGTATATCAATAATAAAGAAGCTAAAACTCTAATATTTAGTTTTCATTGCATTTAAAGCAGACTTTCAAAAAGAAGTTTAAAATCTAAATTTAAGAATAGTTTTTCTCAAAATTTGGTTCAAAAACTTAGAAGTGTTTCAATAAATTTCATATCAAATTGAACAATTATTCAAAAACAGTTAAGAAAGCATGAATACGCTATTCAATGATTCAAACAACAAGAATCATTGAGAAAACTTGAGTTATTCCGGAAAATTCAACTCTTAATATTGCACGAAATAATTTACACGAAACCCAAAAATTGAATTCCAGTTGAAGCAAAGTTGATCGCGGATATCAAGAAATAAAAGTTGATCATTTCCCATATAACTAATCCAAGCGGATCAGTATTTTGCTCAAAAACTCGATGAGCTGGTGATGTTTCGATCTTTAAATCTAAACTCTAAAAGTTATGCCAAGAGGTAAATCTGTTGAAGTCAAAGTTAGGTCAGTTTGGACGAAGAAAAGGTGAAAAGAAACTTTGTTTTGTCTCAAACAGCTTTTGGGAAATAAATTTTGAAGCTCAACCTTGCCGTTTAAAGACCTTGTAATTTCAATGTTTTATTTTACTTGAACATTGTAATATTTGAATGTGACAGCTTTAAAAAGAGCTTTTGATTAATGATTTTTTTATTCATAACCTTTTCTGGTCTCTGTCAAGTGTTGAGGTGGACTTTGGTTGAATGATGTTGAATCTGTTTGCAGGCTGAGCAGTCCGTAAGTGTCAATAGTCGTTATAATCAGTTTATTGGTTTGCTCGTAACTCATTCACCGTTTAAACCATCATTAATTATGATTGACCCTCAAATGAGAACAAGAAATTTCTTCTTTTCCTTTCTTCCAAATATACCTTTTCCAACCTCAGATGGCTTTTCAGTCTGAATACACTTACATCTTTTGTATCCATCTCGTTAATGACAACAAACACAACAACAATGATAATAACATGATCAAACAAAAGCCTGACTTTTGGGCACATTTTCCGAAATAATAGCAACAATTATTTTCCACCGGTCATTTCGACCCGACAATTGCACACTCCAATCATGATTACACCGATTTGCTTGTAATTGTTTTCAATTGCAACTTTTGTTTCATCAAATGTCTAATTATAACCAACCAAATACTCATTCAGTTTAACCTCTCAATTACGGACAGACTTTACAAACCGAATCAAAACTCGACAACAAATTAGAAAACTCCAAACTCGAATATTCAAAAATGAACAAAATCTAAATCAGCAAACATTCTTTAAAATCGAAAACTGTGATTTCGAATATCACAAGAAAGATTTTCATGAATTAATCTAAGCTGATGAGAAAAGTTGGGCGCTTTTTATATGGAGTTCCGGGTTGAGAAAAATTTATTGAAACATTTTCCATTGAAATTGGGATAAAGTGTTCAATCATGTTCAAGTAGGAAAGCGATGAGAAGAAAAAGATAATTTTGCAGATTGTTTTTAATTTGCGCAGTTTTGTTTCAACAATTGCTCTTCTGTTTGAAATGAATTGTAAAGTTAATTGTTAGGGCAGACCAATTAAGTAGCCAACGATTTAAAGAGCACAATTGAAGGTAAAGCAAGAAATCCATGTTGAAAGGTATAAAACAAAATGAAGATTTATGGTCACATTATTAACAAGCAGCAATCAAAGACATTTGTTTGTTTACCTCGAAGGCTTTACCTAATTTACCCTTGTTATTTAATTGTTTCCAGAAACTAGAAAAGCTTTGAAAATATGAATACAAGTTGGGAGAGAAGGCAAGAAAAAGACGGAAAGAGATGCAGACCCACCACGATCATCATGATATGGGTGCTTTTGGGTGCTTCTCAAGGTAACAGCAAATGCGAAGAGTAAACACTGGACACTTAATGATGTTGTATCCCTTTGCAAAGGCCCATTATCATATGAACGGCAAAAGGTTGTAGCCAACTGGCTAAACAAACAAAAGATGAATGAGAATGACATAGATTATGTTCACGAGTTTACCATTTAAAGGAAACTCAAATCAAGTTCATAAATGTAAAAATCATTATTCATTGTTGCTCTTGTTTTGTTAACTCTAATTAATAGCCATTTACTTTATTATTATCATTTTTAAAATAATCATTAGCCAAGCAACACACATTATCATTACTCTAGTTTGGAGTTTATTCAATGAAAGAAACGCAAAAATCTGGTAAAATATTTTGCAACTAAAGGTAAAACGATAAAGATCAGATTGCAGTTGAAAAGTTGATTGTTAGTTAAATTACTCATTAATAGCTTTTAATAACATGGGATGGAAAAGTGCGCAAAATGATTTACTCCAAACTTGCGAACTTGGGAAAAGTAGAAAAAAAAAGTTTTTCTAATTGTTATCAATAAATGGTTTAAGATCGTTGTTAACCGTCAACTGATATTAATCAGACAACCCAACAGATTTGTAATCAAGCGTTCAAGTTAATTGTTGAATCTTTTCAAAAGCAGATGATTTTTGCCTTCTTGAATTATCTTTTTCAAATCATTTGTGAGATGAATGTAACCACGACATGATGATTCAATTGATAAGCCCTGAAGATTTCAACATTTGGAGAAAACTTTTTTTTCTATTTCATTGTTTTTATAGGCTTTTCTTTATTCCAAATTAAATTCATTTTTCTGTTCTCATCATGATTGCCAATTGAATTCAATTAAATTGAACAATTGATTGAGCCCAATTTGTTGATATCGTTTTGAACTTTTTTCGAGAAAAAATTGTTTTCTCAATGATTCGGAAAAGGTGATTAAGGCAATTGAAATGTTGATTTTGTTGGTGACGAAAAAAGAAAATTTCGTTGAAGAATGTTCCTTTTTAGGTCAAAATTTTGTCGAGACAATTTTTTCTTCTATATTGGCCGAAAGTCTACTTTTAAAGGTAGATCAACTTGAGACTTGATGTGTTATTAATAAAGTTTTTTTTCTGAAAAATTTCTTTTTCCTTTTTTTGCTCCGTTTCTTTTGGCTTTTTTTGATCAATGATAATTGATCATTTTTACCCTCCCAGGAGATAAGTTGTCATATTTGCTAGAGAATCTCAAATTTACACAGTTTTATTCAATGTTGATGGGAACAAGAGTAGCTAATGAATATCTCTCGTTTACACCTTTAGGACAAGTTGAGCTTGTTGCTGGTTTGCTTCTTGAAAGGATTACCACCTAACCTGAGTTTAACCTCTAGTGGGAAGATGCTTTTGGCTATTGGCAGAGAGATAAGTTGAACACCTTTATTGATTAATATGAAAACGAGAAGCTCATTTTTTGCACCCAAAACATCTTCCTTTTCTTGTTCATTTTTATCAACATTGAAATGAGACTTTTCAAGAAAAAAAATGAAAACAAATGATTAATGAAATTACAATTAGCCTTTGGCAGAGTTAATTTGTCAATATTATTAATAAGATTATTCAATTCTATCATATTCTTGGTTCTGTTAATGGTAACGATTTGCATCAACGTCATGTTTAGTGGTTGATTAATTTGCGCAAATTGCTTTGCAATATTAGCCTAATTTGGAGAAGTTTTTTTTCTTTTTCAGTCTCAAATTGCAATTTACTTTGTTGCTTTAAAATGACCGACTGTGACTAATTACCTTGGCACTTGCGAGTAACATTGATCCGTTTTGGTATTTTATAGAGATCTATATCTACACTAGATGGAGTAGCTAATCTCAAGTTGACTAAAAAATAATGAATGATAAAGTAAATGAAAATACAGCAAACTTGCCGTGATCCGACTAGACAACCTGATATGGCACTTGATTGCTTTCTGGTGTCAAAATTACTGTAGCGTCAGGCAGAGCTCGAGCTTCCAAAAAACTAAAATTGATAATTTCTTCGTCAATAATTTGCATTTTTCAACTTGATTAACACAACTTGATAAAAACTCAAGTCAAACTTTTTCACTAAAAAAGACTCAAAGAGTAGCTTAAAAGTGTTTCCGTACGTCTTAGGTCAAGTTATCTATGCAAAAGTAGCCATCAATGGATTACTCTATTAGACTGCTGCCATTGCATGTTGTCAGTGCCAGTTAACTATCATATGTAACAATATGTTATACAATAATTTCTTGGCTACTGCATAAAACTGTAGGTTAAAGTAGAATCACACAGGCTCTTAATTTCATTATCCTCTGAACAATGCCAATCCAATGACTAATTTGATCGAGTATATTCAGGATGATTGAAGAGTTAGCAGCCTTAAGGATAGTAACGATTACTTTTAATCAACTTTAAGCAGTTCTCACACCAAACTAATGTGAAAATTGGAACGGCGAATGTGAATCATAAAATCAAGATCGATCTGCCATCTGTGAACAGTAGTATTTAATGCACGTTCAGATGAAATATTTTTATTTTTGAACATTTCAACTCATGAACTTGTTTACCAGAAATCTTCATTCTAATGCCATTGGTTATAAAAAACGCAAGTTTAGTTTAATTCAACTTTGAAAATTTTCTCCAGACAGATGGACTCTCTTTAATTGATAAATAACACGATGAGACGCATTACAATGTACTGCGTAGTACGAAGTCTCTCACTTCAATCACTTATTGCGAATTTTCTTGCGAATGTTGTTCTTCGCCAGGATATCATGATTCTGTAAAAAAATTCTGGTTAACGTTCTTCAGAAAATTAAATTGATGTGCAAATGTGTCAAATTCAACAATTTTAATGAAAGTTTCTGTTTAAATTTGAAAACAAAACAATTGATTAATAGAATCAAGTTTGATAAACTTTTTCTCCAGACCAAAATTAACAATAAATAGGAAAATTACGATTTTTTAACAAAATTCAAACAAGCAATTGACTTTTAACAATCAATTTACAAAATTGAAAGGAAAATTATTTTTTGTATTTCCATTTTAAATTTAACAAGATTTATCAAAAATATGAGATAGATAATTTTATGACAGTTTAAACTATTTCTTGGTGGTTATCGTTACAATCAACTGCTAACAATTACAATTGAAATCATTAACTTGAAACATTTGAAAATTATTGTGCAAATGTCTCCCTCTATTGACAGTAAAACAAACAATTTTGCTTTTCTTTTTTTGGTTTTCATTCAAATTTCAAGATTCATTTGGTATCGGCAAATGCATCATTTATTGCACATAGAATGATAAATTGGGCACTTCACTAGCTCAATAAAATCGCCTTTTCCCCGACAATATCGACTCGAAAATGTTTTTTCCATTCTTGGACAATTTCGTCCTAATCTTGTCCATCTCATTCCCTTTGGTCACAGAATCGTGCTTTTTATCGGTTACAACGGAATAATCGGCAACACCCTGACAGTCGACATTGTACCACCAGTCACAGACACCCGACTTTTGACTAAAGATGGTTCCACGAGGACAAAGGAATGAATGTTTTCTGTGACCTTGGCACATGTGCCAAACCTGACAGTCCGTCTCGACATCAGCATAATAGGCACTTTGGCTAGTCTGGTCTTTACATTCAAATGAAGTTCTGGGTATACTTTTAATGAGAGGAAAGTCTTTTCCTGGTTCACCTTTTCGTTTGGTCAAACGATACTTTTGCTGTTGAGGTGATTCATTGGTAGATTGTTGCTTTGAACCGACTGACTTTAAGGTTGTCAGGTAACCTCGACGTTTCGATAGTTGATGGTTAACTGTTCCAGAAATGGTCAAATCGGTTGAATCGTCGAGAAATTGTTCGTGTTTAGATCCATACTGTGAATGAAAGAAAATCAAAATTAATGTTTGCTCGTGAGTTTCATTTGTTCACAATCAATCAAAATGATCGATCACAATTGAACAAAGTTGTTTCAAGCTAATGAACGCTAATTCAAACTCTTTTTTTACCCCGTTAATTGCTCCAGGTAACAATTACACTTTGATTTATTCAAAAGCGATGAAAACTTCATCTTTTCAGGTGAAAATAAAATTAATCATCAATCGAGGCAAATTTGAAAAGAAAAGGTTGATTCATTTTATCACCAATTTCGGACCAATTTCATGATCGATCAAATTGAAAAAGTGATATTTTCTCACCTTTTTGACGTTGAATTTTTCATTGTCTTTACCGCCGTGTTTATCATTGAGAAACTCGTTTCGAGAGTAAATCGAATGCGATCGACCCATTGACCTTCCTGACGGTGGCTTTGTGACACTTGGACTTAAAGTGGTCGATAGTCTTTGAATATTGGGCTTTGGAATGTACCCATTGAGACTGTACATAGCGGGTCGAGGAAACTTGGGTGTCAACAGGTTGGGAATGGAAAGTTTAGAGCTTTTTGAATCGCTAGAGTCGACATTGAATCGTGTCAGTCGAAGTGAAGAGGAAAACTTTTCCGATGAAGACAACTGCAAAATATCTTGAGTCGAACTCTGAAAACAAGAAAAACGACATTAAACGCAACAAAAATAGACGATTGGTCATTCAGCGAAAAAAGAAAAGTTTCAAAAGTTGAAAATTCAATTTACCATGTAAACTGAGGGTTAAGTAAACATGAAAACTTTAATTGAACGACAAGATTAACTTGAAAAAATAAAACGATTCCAATGTTTGTTACTCTGATTAGCTGATTACCATCATATAATTGAACTTTGATTGCATTTTAATTTGTTTCATTTCCATTCAAATTGAAATTAAATTAATTTTCTTCTTTTACCTTCTCACATCTTCACCAGGTATGGGTATCTAAAATGAACGACCATTCAAGGAGATTATTTACTCTCTCTTCTGATCAACAAGTGAAACAAATGAAATCTCATTAAGGAGAATTACTTTCAATAATTAACTTCATCATGAAACCCGCACTGGATACATGTTAATCTATGTCAAGCACAACTCGATTAGTAAATTTAAAGTCGCTCGAAATGTAAACTAAAGAATCAATTGTTGCCTTTCAAAATGTTTACAAGAAGTGCGTCTTTTGCGATGAAAATTTTCAAAACTCTGATTTTCCTTTTTTACTCAAACTGATTGTTTCTTCATTTTTCATTCAATTGAACACCATGAAAGCCTCCAGGTGAAATGGTCATTCAGGTTGAACAAGTTTCAAGGGAAGTTAGTGATACTTTAATTGCACCGATCAATATGACCAGTAACGGTAAAAACTATTATTTAATTCATTCATTTTTTTCGTTTTTTTTTGCTCTTCCAATCTCACAACTATTCATTATATATTGATATTAGCTTGGCGCGCTTTTTTCACTCGAAGCTAAAGTTTACCTTTTTTCACCTTTTACTGTACAATTATAATGTGATTGATTTTATTGGCATGTTTAGCCATTTACATTACAACCTATCAAATCAAGTATTTTGACTGGAACCAATTAAAGTCAAATTTAAGTGTCTAAAAAGCTCAATTTAAATCTCTTTAATTGGCACTTTAAATAGATTCTCAGATAAAACTCAGATTTTGATTTAAGACTGATATCAAGACTATTTCAAGAAAATGGAAGAATTTGTTTTTTTCTCTTTTCGCTGAACATGGAATGAATGTCGATTGAATTGACAAACCTTTGAAGAGTTTTTGTATTCCATTGGAACTAGTCTTGCCTCTGATTTGTCGAGACTTCGTGTTCGCACAACTGAACCATAAGCGATTCGTCGACTTTTCGTTGGAATCGGTTTATCTCCAAATCGAAGTTTAGGTGGACGAATCGGCAATTTGGACCATCGTGAGTTCCATGAAGATAGTTTATCTTTGGATGATCCTTGGTTAGCCAAGGTTGACTTGTTGTACTTGCTCTTGTCTACTGAGTCTACTTGACTTTCGCCCTTTTCAAGTTCAGTAGAAGTTTCAATGTCAACTTTGGGTTGGATTTTCAAGATTTTCCAAGATTTTGGTGAAGTTGCAATCTGTAAAGAAAATCAAAAGTTAGAAAAAAAACTTTTCATGAAAAGGAAGAGAAAAAAACTAGAACTTGGTGGTCTTTTCAAGATGAAAGATTATCAAGTTTAATGGAATAACAATATTTACAAAAATCTGGTTGAACCAGTTGAAGCTGATTGATGAAACAACATTTGTTGCTCAACAAGCTCAATACACTTTATCTCATCATGATTGATTAACACTGGGTGAAACAATGCATCTTCAGTTCATTACAATTTCTTGCACTTAGCATTTGATGAAAACTGAAACAATTTCGAGTTGATATCAAAAATGAAAGGAAATGCAAACTCGAGAAAAAATGGACAAAAAATCGAAAAATAATGTTTACTTGTGACAATCATTTCGTCTGTTTTCAGGTCAAAAGTGGACAAATTGCGATTAAAAGTATTGATTAGCAGAAATTGTTGTTTATTTAGAATCCAGTTTTTCATATTTATATACAGAATGGAACAGCACCAAGTTCAATTGGCGATGATTGATTACTTTACCTGTTAACAATCACTTGACGAATTGTTTTGTTTGTTGTTGAAACGTTTTAACGTTAATCTAAAAAAACAGATTTGCACAGAAATGTTCATTTTTACGCTTCTCATCATTCACTTGAACTTATTCAAGTGTAAACTTGTGATAATTTATCGTTATCATTGACCATTGAAGGTGAGCTAAAAGATTGATTACTTGAAGATACTTGACTTCTTTGCTGTTTGGTCATGAAAGTGCAAGTGATTCCTTCAATATTGTCCAGTTTAAATTTTGTCAACTTTTGGTTCCATTTCTATGCAAATCTAACCTGAGTATTGATTAGCCAATTTCATGTACCAAACAAGGGCACGATTCATCATGATTATTACAAGCAAACAAAACATTTTTAAACTTAAACTTTTGAAACTTTTTCTCTTGAAACTCACTCAATGGGCCTGACAACCTCACTAATCGTTTGCTATTAACTTGATGAATTGTTGATTTTATCATCCAATAACTAAATGCTAACAGATAGATTAAAAGCACTTTACCGTTTATCTTTGAGTGGGTTACATTGGCCAGAATTACTGTCATTAAAAGATTGAACAAGACTGTCAGAGTTTCTGTTTGATTGATTCAAAATTAAAAATAAAAATTTCTTTTCCCTGATTCACAATTTGATCAAATTGAGGCTTGTGATTAAAGGGCAAAAACCATTATTCTTGGTTGAAGATATTAGGGAAATTTGGACTTTTCGAGTTTGAATTTTTTTATATTCTGAAATTTTCACTCAGACTAAACAAAAATTTCCATCCAAAATTGTCGTACTTAGACCATTGAGATGAAATAAGTCGAAATATTTGTTAACAGAAACTTTGTCGGAATAATTCAATTTTCTTGTTTGGAAAATTCTAAAAGTTCAAATAAATCATTCGACTGACTAAGTGACTCGGGCCGACTCAGCTACTTTCTTAGCAACTTAAGCCAAAAAAACCGCTTCGAGTGACTGACTGGTTCGGTATCTAATTAGAAGCTATTTTGACAAAAGTCGTAATTTGAATTTTTTGATTGAAATTCGGATTCTACTGTGAGTTCTTGTAATTGCTGATTAAAAAGCAGCTCATTATTACTTGGAATCCAAATGTCAAACCTTATTCAGTCAAAAACACGACCATTTAGCACAGTTGGTCAGCTACTGACTAAACGTCAACTAACATGCGATTGTTGGCTTTACAAAATATTTGAAATATCAGTGAATTTTCATTTCGTTTTCCGGTTCTGAAATTGATGTGAAAATGAATGAAAAATTGTTGAAAGTTTTGTTCAATTTCTTTCATCTTCATCTTTACCAACCTGATAACTGATTCTGGTTGAATAACTGTTAAAATGATGGTCAAACAATGAGGAAACAATCATGTGAAAACAAAATGAAGGCAAAAACAGAAACAAAATTAATGGTTAAACATTCATTGAAGCAAAGCCGTTTAAGTGAAAATTATCCTCATTAATATCGTTTCAAATAACATGTATTAACATGACCGGAACTGGTCAAAACTGCAACTCAAGAAGAAGATGAAAAAAGCTTGCCAGATAAACCAATAGACGAAAAAAAGGGTTGAAAATGTTTCAGTAAATGGTAAAAGAAAAAAGTAAAGTAAAAAAAGAAATGAAAAGTTTCATTGATAATTAAGAAAATTTTGTTGCTCGGAAAGAAATTGAATTTTCACATTTTCCAAGCCCAAACTGATAAATATGAGAATCACGAATCGCCATCGTTTGCACCATGAAAACAGTTGAACAGATACAAAAGGTAAATTGAACAAGGTTACAAGCTTGAGACAACATGATTGTTGTAATAAATAATCAAGAAGCAAAAAGAAGAAGAAGAAAGCGTTTCAAACAAATCTTTACAGAAGCAAGTACGTCAAGGTATTCAGACAAGTTATTAGCAAATAATGAGCGTAATGAATGCAATTCTTGATCCTGTAACTTATCATCATTTGGATCCTTGATCATAAAACTCAAGACTAGGAAACTTCAAAAGTAAATCAGTAAATCGGCTCAGAGAGAAAAGAGTTATTTAGCAAAAAAAACTTCCGATTTCCATGAAACATGGGATTCGTCCAGGTTCACATTTTCCGATAAAAGTTGAAAAAAGATTTGAATTTGCGATTCAAGCTTTACTGTTCATCAAAATTTCAAGTAATTTCAAGGATTGAACCATTCGCTGTCAAAGTGATCACCAATTTCCAGATTTTAATGAACTAATTTTGTCTTGACCAAGCAACTATCCGTTGAAGGACTTTGGCACATGATGCGTTCAACAATGAAAGGTTAAAATTAAAGGTCAACTTGAAAGATTAACCTTTTGTTTGCACAGTCAAGTGGCTCAACTTGCCTTGATATTTAAAGATTTTGGCGTTTTCCTTGTTAATCCATTTTCAATTGTAAACTACCGAGTTAATCATCTTTTTGTTTCAACCTTTTATTGCTCTATCATTTACCTTGGATTAACATTGTTTAAACATTTTTAATTGCTAATAATACAAGTGAGTTAATAACGATTATTATCATAACTTTTAAATCTCGGCTTATGGGCTGTTCAAGCAACTCTTGATTAAACCATTGAATTTTTTTAAACGATTAAGATTAACAAATGATAAGAGATTGTTTTTTAGCAATTAACAAGTTTTGAACATTAAATGATTGCCTTTTTGGTTTGAATCGTTTGTTAGGAAATGGAAATTAAGGAATTAATTGAATCTTTAAAATTGACAAAATATTAACTAATGAATCATTTACATGATAAACATTTTGCACCTCTTAATTTATTCATAAGTTACACTCCTTTGTAATTAACATTTAATGATTTACATTAATTTAATTGCTTATTAACTTCAAGTACCAAATTGTTATTTTATGAAAATAAAATTTTAAAAAATTAGACAAAAATAGAGAGAATCGATTTAAAAGAAAAAGTTCCAATCGATTACTTTGCTTTTAATTTAGATTGCAAATCGATTTTTAATCTACCAATCCACAGGATCTAACCTAACCTAACCTAACCTAATCTAACCTGTCAAGTGTAAAGGATAGCACTCCATAGAAACAATGGCAAGTGAGGTTGGCGAGGCTCAGCTAGAGGCGCTCACGTCAGTTTCTCTTTCAATTCGAAATCTTTTAAAATTTTTTAATCGAATCTAATTAGCGTTTTGATTTTAAATCGATTTTTAATCAACTTATTCGACTGGTGAATTCGCAAGGTGAAATTATTTTCATTAAGATCGTTATTGACAAGAGTTTTATAAACATAATTTAAATCAAAGTATAAAAATTTGAAAATTTGAATCTTTCGTTTGAAATCAAAAAGTTGAAAATCGATTCTGGATCGATTTTTGTCTTTGATCGAAATATGATTCGCTATGATTGGAAAATGCTAATTTGATTCATTGCGATTTTTTACGTTTGAAAATGAAACCTTTCCCATCAAGTACTCATTGAAAGTGAGATTATCCCATTCATGTTTTTGTTTATCGGTTTGATGATAAAGTGAAACTTGACGTTCATTGTTAACATTATTTACCTTTTCATGAAACTTGAAAATGTATTTGAAACCGGATAAGCTTGAAACGCTTTTGTAAACACTTTTTATAAGCGCACATGAAAGGTGATTATGATCAGTGATTATCAACAAAAGATGTAAACTCATGTTGACAAGATAATCAGTTGAACCCAATTGATTAAAGATGCAAAAAAAAGTTCAACAAGTCTAAATTCAAGGTTAATTCAAGCCTTAATCATAATCCTCTTTTCGGTCATCAATTGCAGCACCTTCAGCCGTTCATTATTCAGCTTACATGAAAAATCTGTCTGAAACTTTTTTTCTCATTCGTTACTCTTTAATTGATCAACTTGCGACCATTTCAATAGCCTTAATCAGTATTTACCTAATTTCCAGGAGATTGAAGAGAATAGAACTGAAAAATGGAAAAAAATTTTGCATGAAAATTCATAACTGTTATCACATTACTAATTGAATCTTCAAGATAATCATGTTTTTTGTTCAACTGCCGTAAACAAACATGATTATACTTTTGACGCTATTCATGATGTTTAAGAACAGAAATTAATTTCTTGATGAGAACAGAAAAAGTCTGAAAATAGTTTCGATATGAATGATAATTAGAAATGTGATTATCAGATTTACACAAATGATGATAATGATGATGAGCTAAATGATGAAGTTTCATTTGTTATTCAAAGTTGTGATCAAAGGTTAAATGGCCAATAAAGATGAAAAGGTAAATAAAGTAACGAAAAGGCAAATGAATAATTCAAAGTTTTGGTAAAATTGAAAAACTTTTTTTTTCTTAAAAAACATTAAACATTTAAAAAGTGTCGACTTTGCGTTTTGGATTAAAATGAATGTGAAAATGATCGCTATCAGTGCGCCGAGTTTTGGACAAAATTGACTCTAAAATAGTGTTCAATAAGTTTAACCAAGTGCAGTTAGTAAAAATATTTAAATGGCTTGCGGCTAAAGTTGGCATTACCGTTACTTTTGATTAACCCTGCAAGGTAAAGTGGTCATTTCACATCCGATAGTCTTAATGTGATTGTACATTAAATATGGTTTTTAATGGTGGGCTTTGAATGTATTAGCAAAGTGCAAGCAAAATGGTTAAAGATTAAAATGTAAACCAAAGAAAAACAAATTTTCTGTAAATCGCTCAAGGCTTTCTGGGCAGTTGATTGTAATTAGCCAACTACTAACTTTGCAATTTACTATTTACTTAACTACTGTAAAAGAAATAAAGAATTGAATAGAGAAGTTGATTCACGAATTGGCCGATTAGAAGGAAAACTATTCCATTTACTAATACAATTTAATATTACTACTAATTTAATAGTACAATTGACGATTAAATGGTTTGTTCATCTTCAATTGAATTTGAGTTTTTAGATGATCAGATTAAAATGAGAAGTAACTTAATCTTGTTTATAAATAGTGACAATTGATAAATAAATTAGACTCTTTAGCTGTAAAAATATCGATACAACGGGTCAAGTGATGATAAATGTTGGACTTTTGTTCCCTTTTCAATGATGGACAATGAAACGCTCATTAGACTTGTAAAGCTTAGACCAACTCAGGCATAATCCAATATCTTGTTTCAACTCATTCCACTTTGTATTCATTTTTCAAACTTGAGTGTAAGAGTGAAAGGTTAAATGTTTTAGTGGCAAAATCGAACTGAGAAAAGTTCTTATTCGGCTAAAAATTGAGGGAAAGATCCAATGTTGAGTGTCAAAGTGACCTGAAAACTTTGGCAAAATTGTTTTGCGACAAAAAATTGTCAGCATATTTTGCGCTATATTATATTTGACGTTTCTTTGATTTTACTGAAAATCCAAGTCATTCAACGCTAATCGGCCGAAGTCGGAAAATTGGAACATCTCAATGAGTAAAATCTTTTCTGGTCTTTTCTCGGAAAAGTCAAACATTTCGAACTCGCATTCCTTTGCGACTTTAAGTGTAAGCTGTTGAGTCTAGAAACTCGGATATCTAATTAATCCTGACAATTGAATCGGAATCTCAGAAAGCTTAAGTGCTAATCTGTTGGTGAAGATAACGAAGTATCGAAATGCATCTTTATCTAGTAAATGACTTCTTGGAAAGATAATTAGATCTACTTATCGGGTTTTCTTGTTACAATAATAATGCAAAATAACTCAATGATATTTAAAGCTCTGGGCTTGACTTGACTACACTTGCATTTAAGTCTTTAAAAGCGGACGTTAACTGTGATTCAACATAAACTTTTGTTGAAACCAATTGTGCTCCAGGGAAGAAGTGAAAGTCTCTCACGGTTAGTTAATCGGTAAATTTGATTAGCGACAAGTTATTGACCAGATAATAAATGCTGTCCAATTATATGTTTATATAATGATCACTATTGATTTTATTTTTTTCGGACTTTCTTTTTTTACTTTTACTTTGTTCCATTATGAAACTTGAAAATTAAAGTGATTAACAAGTTGTTAAGTGTTATTATTTACGGAATAATCGTTAAGTTTGTTTTTGCTCATTTTTTTGGTTAACATATACCCTGAAGAGTCTCCAAAAGACAAATTGGAACTGACAAGTCGATAATTTGCAAAACATTATCATGAAAAAAAGGAAAAGAATTGAAAATTCAAGCCGACAATTTGACAACAGGCAACTGTCAAAACTCGAAGTTGAACCAAAGTATACTCACAACTGTCGTTGAATCTTCCAATGGTCCAACCGAAGAGGCATTAAAGCTGTTTGATTCACGATTGTCAACTGATAGTCCATCAACCTGGTCAGTCAGAAAACAACAAAAGACGAAAATTATTTTCTTTTTCACTTTTTCATTAACAAATTCTTTGTCATTGAAACTCGAAGAAAATTTCACCAAATTATACCTTGAAACTGAGAAGTGCCAGAACCGCCACTAATGGATGAAAATACATGATGAAGTTTAAACTAAAGCAAACATTAAAGATTGAATTTCATTTTTCACATAAAATGGTCCATGAAAAGATGTTTAAATTTGCACTTTACTTTACAATTACTGGACGAAGACGGCGAGTTATGAGCATGATAAATCTGAGTAAACCTGAATCATGGTAAATGTCTCATTCAATCTCACTGACTCACTATTCTTTCTCACTCAATCAGTTATCCTTTTCTCCTCCTTTCTTTACCTTTCACTTATTTCAATAACTTCAATATCGACAATCCCATTTCATGTTTTTCACTTTGAAACTTTTCTTGTTTCTCTTTCAACTTTCAACTTCAACTTGTTTACATGTACAGAACATTTTGGATGAAAAACTTTTTTGGTAAACATTTTCTTGCCCATCATGAGTGCAAATCTTATCAATTTTACATTAATCATTTTTCATCGTTTTATTGTACCACATTCAAGTCAAAAAAAGGCTCAAAGATGAGTTTCAACTGATCAATTGAAGATTAGTTGAATGGTGAAAGAAGTAAAAATTGTTAGACAAATGATTGACTTGGAAAATGGAAAATGAAATAATTATTTTTTTATCCATTCGATGATTGATTTACTTTTTACTCTTGTTGATGATCCAATTTTGAGAATGAACATTAAGTCTTTGAATAAATACCAATTGTGATATTGAACAAAAAAGAGTTTAATAACCAAACCTATTATCAACATTTCATTATTTAATTTTAATCATCTTATGATAGATTTGCTTGATCAACTAGAATTGATTACAATGAAATGCTTCCATTTTTTGCATCTAAAAAGATTAAACACTTGAGCCATCTGGTGAGTCATTGAAAAATCTGAGTGAATGAGAATGTGAATCTGAATGAGTTTTCAGTTCAAAATGCTCACATTTCATTGCATATGTACGATTAGTACATGATGACAATTTATATCCGCGACTTAAGTAGCTTTGCTTCAGCAACATTATATTTTCCATTATAGTTATACTGATGTGCTATGTAATAGGCAACGATAAGAATCTATACAATATATAAAGTCAAACTATGAAATTTTTGCGGGAAGATTGTGACTAACTAAACACGATCTAAAGAAAATTTTTACATAGAATGAAAGCCCTGATTGAACTTCAATTAAGAAAAATAGCCAGAGTTTTCTCGAAATACAGGTTGATGAGAAATTAGCGTTTAAACAGGGTGGGGGAAAAATTCAGAATCTGTATCTCTTACTATTGACTTTAGGGGTAAAACTTTGGTTATTTAATTTGATGCTTTAATGTTGGGCTAGAAGGATATGTAAAACTTTCTTACAGATTTTTGTTACTAAATCCGCCATTAATGTTTTTTTTGCTTCACATAACGTCTAAATTTTGACAAATTGAAAATCCTTAAGCATTTGGAGTTTATCCATTGATTATTTTGACATTCACATTCTACCCAATTTAAGGTAAATATTACCATTTGCAATCTTAAAAATGAGCACCATGCAAAAGACAGAATATTACATCGTACCGTACACTCTACGAGACTGCCAACGCTATATTTCATGTGTACAGAGATGAAATGGTCGAAATTGGAATAAATGAAAACTTGCAAATAACTATAATTAGTGAAATCGGTGCCCCTACATATCGTTGATTTTGTTTAGATGGCACTTATATGATTACAATCGAGGAGTTGTTGTCTGGCATTTCGATAGAGTTTTGAACTATATGTATTTTCTTTAACGAGAGGCGCAAAGGTTCAATAACCAAATAGTTATTCTTAATAAAAGCGTATATAGCTTTGTCATGGAGCTCTGTGAGGATCTAGTAACTTTCATTTGATTGAATTCAGTGAAGATGTTAAATTACAAAACATTTTCTGATATCAAAGCTCAAGTTTTAAATCCAACAGTCCGAATACAAATATTAAAGTGTCCGGGTGATGATTCCCCTTACGTAGTTGATGCAGATAAACATAGATGTCGCTACATAAAAACACTTCATACTAGTTAGTCTCTACACTGCGTTAAATGGGATTAAGACCATGTAATCTACTCTAATTTTGCCGCTTTAAGCTAATCAAGTGGATAGTAAAGTGTGAGAACCCTTTTTAGACGTCAGCTAATCCATGGATTTAGGCTTATTTCATTGTTTCTGGCCGCGTATATGTTTTTAATTAAAATTAACAGATTTTTGTAACTCATTGACTGTCAAATAGGATTAAGGTCAGCGTTATTTTTGACTATTTGAGCAAATTTTTCAGTTCTTTTTTTGCTCAGAACTATTCTTACTGAACTGGTCAATAGTTTGTTAGTACTTTTGTTTCATTTTTTTGTGTTATTTTCATCAAATTTAGTCATTTTAACAGAGTTACGTAAGTTATTGCAATGGGTAAAGGAAAAGATTTAAATGATATTGAAATTGGCCAAATTATGGCATATAACGCTGAAGGGTGATCAAGTCGTTATATTGCTGCAAAATTGAATGGATCAAAAACAGCTATAAACAACTACCTTGCAAATCCGGACCGTTATGAGCAACAGAATCAAAGTGGACCTAAGTTTATGTTTGATGATCGTGATGTACGACATGTTTTACGTGAAATTACCAATGCAAAGAAATCTTGTGAACAGTTAAGACGTGATCTTGGATATCAGTGTACCCGTCAAACAATCTACAATGCCGCTAGAAGAGCTGAAAATATCGAGTTTAGGAAACCTAATTGTAAGCCTCCATTGACTGCTGAACATAAAGCCGCTCGAATTGCTTTCGCTGAAAAATACATTGACTTTGGTGATAAATGGTTGACAGTAATGTTTCCGATGAAATTGGATGGACTTGATGGTTTTAAATCATATCGGAGGGACTTATTCAGGGAGGAAACGACATTTTCAAAGCGTCAATTTGTTGGTGGAGGAGTGATGATATGGGCTGGAATAGCTTTCAATGGGAATACGGATATTGCATTTTGTCAGGGTAAAATGAATTCTAAAGCCTATGTTGAAATGCTAGATCAATATATGGCACCAATAATTTATGAAACTTGTGGTGTAAATGCTATTTTCCAGCAAGATAACGCTTCAATTCATGCTTCTGCAGAGACAAAAGCATGGTTTGAACGAAAATGTATTAACCTAATGAATTGGCCATCAAGATCTCCGGATCTAAATCCTATTGAAAATGTCTGGTCAATCTTGGCTCGAAAGATTTACTCGAATGGTCGACAATATCAGAACATCGAGAGCCTGAAAGAATCTATCGTCCATGAATGGCAAAATATGGATCAAACTATGATTCAAAATATCATATTATCTATGAAAAATAGACTGATTGAAGTTATTACCAAAAAAGGTGCTTCAACAAGCTATAAAAGGTTAAACATTTGATTATATTGAAGTGACCTTAATGCCATTTGACAAGAATTTTTCATCTTGAGAACAAAAGTGACAATTAAATTAAATTAAATTAAAAAAACCTAACGATTTCAAATTTCACTAATCATAACTCTTTTTAACCAATATTCATATTAACTTACATTTATAACAAAAATATTATGAAAATGCCATGAAACATGGATTTAATGACGTGGCCATAATGCCATTTAACGCAGTGTATCTCTACCAAGTCATACGGTCTCTACGATTGCTTGCAATGAGCTTAAAACATGACTAAAGTCCGCATTGGAGTGTCATCTATCGGACCAGCATATATGCGAATAATTTCGCTTTTGATTCGTCGATTGAAATTAGGAATTTAGCAATCATTCGCTATTCACTTTAATAGAAAATTTTCGTGATTTGAAATTTTGTTAAAGATGGGTATATTTGCTGTGTTTGCAGATTTTCGGTTCAGTATATTAGACGGAATCTAAATTCTTCTAATATTTGAGCAAGAAGTGGATTTTGCTTTCAAAATAATAGAAAAGAAAGATAAATTCATTAAATACATTAGATTGCAAATCTCAGCAGATTCTTTACATGTAGACCACAAGAATTCAGTTTTCACGAAGTGCGATTTCCTTTAAAAGATTTTCTTTGATTTGGTCTGTAAAAAGACTAATAAACGATCAAAAACATATTTTGTCAAAATAAATATTTGAGTTAAAACAACATCCTCATCTTCTTAAGAATCCCACTAGATGACGCTATCCTCTTCGTGAACTCAAAATTAACCCATAAAATCATCTTACTTTTAAGCCCGTTAGATGGCGTCCAAAGTCCAAGTAGCTTTAAATCAATATCTCAATTTGTTCATCTCTTTGGTTGTTTTGGTTCTAACCTAATGGCTTTAACGCAATTTTGACAAAACTGAGAAACTGACTTTCCATTGTAATTGCCATTCCCCTTTAAATTTTGATAAAAATCAGCCCCAATATCGAGATATTACCAGCTTTGAACTAGCGAACATTCAACCTAATACCAAATAGCCAACCTGATTCATCATGAATCAAAAATTGAAACTGAAAATAGAACAATTTCGAGATAAATTTCATTCAATTTTCAACTAATTTATCTCTTCAATACCTCAATAGAAAATTTAACTCAAAATTGATGACCAATTAAACGCATCTTTTGATATTTCCTCATCAAAGATTGATCGTGTAGCTTTATTAATAAAAGTCAATCGAGTCATCGATATGCATTTATTTTTATGATCTCATGTAAAGACAATTTTCTTGTTCAGTTAATTGCAAATGAAATGATTACAATTTGATGATGAAAAAAGGAAAAGTAAAAGAAATGAAAAGTTATTAAAAGAGATTTCCTTTTTGTTTACCCAATTTTTACCAAGCTTTTTGAATTACGCTTCTTCATCGGTGAGTGACTCTCTCTCACTTACTCTATCTTCCCTTGATGATCATCTTCTTGATCATCATTATCATCATTTATTCTTGTTCTGAGCATTTCTATGGAATAATATTCATTGAGAATTTGTTGGAAGCAAGGAAAACAAGGTGGAGTTTCAATGAATAGTGACTGTCTTGTGAACGTCTAAGGCTGAGCCAAGCAGCTCCGCCTTGATGCACTGAGTAGGTTGAGGTTGGGTTGAGCTTGGATTGGTGATGAAGCCCAATGAAAAGAGCTGTTAGAGGAAAGAGGAAGGAGTAAGAGAGAGTCGATGAGAGAGAGAGAAAAGGTGAAATTTAGTGTTGGATGAAAATGGTTAGTTGATAATGTTGACTGAAAATGATCAACAGAAGGTAAAACAAGAATGAATAGTTCATCTGATTCTGTGAGATTATCATGAAAAAAACAACATCATTGCTATCAGCAACATCAACATCATCATCAACAATACCAGATCAACATCAGAACATCATTGAATAATTGTTTTAGTGCTCTTAATATTTATATATAAAAATATATATTGGATTATGAGATGAATTGAAACAAGAAAAATTATGAATGAAATGAGTTTTTCGTTTTTCTCTTTTCCTTTCTTTTCCATCGTTTTTTCCATCTTTCCTATTCTCGTGGTTTCATAATTTATTCAACCAATCAACTAACATCAACCCATCTTTACCCAGTCAAGGTACATCAACAAACGTCAAGCACACATACACACAACGTTCTGATAAAGTCCTTGGCTACGTTCAAAGTTTTTTTTCCTTTCTCTTTCTGTCTCTTCGCTCTGTGCAGTTTTGTGTTCATTTTTTGCCATTCATTGAAATCGGATTAATTTTTTTGTGCATCAAATCATCAAATCATCTTTGTTCCCATCTTTTCTCATCACCATGTCCAGTGGAACCTTTTCACCTTATCTGAACACAACTCTTCACGGTATTCACCATCATCATCATGATCACATGCAAGTGCCTGCAAGTCAATCTTATGGTCGTGATGTGCAAACAGAACTTAAATACATGGCTGCTGCCGTTCAACATAATCAGGGTCCCAATGGTCATGCACCCTTAAGTGCTCACCATCATCAATGGGCAACCATGGGACTTGCACCTCCCCACCACCATACAACTGAACCATGGAGTGGAATGCATAGTTCACTAGCAGCAGCTCACAACCAAGCCGCTTCAGCGGTAACAGGGTCCTCTTCCTCTTCCTCCTCATCATCTTCATCTTCGGATATTAAACCCAATGGAACCAATAACGGCAACAGTGAAAGTGGTAATAATAGCACGGGTAGAGGAGGAAGCAATGGACGTGGCTCTGCAGGAGCTGAGAACATTGGAAATAACAATTCATCCGGAAGTGCTTCTAGTAATAGCAATGGTAACAATTCATCAAATAATAATGGTTCAGGTCAAACTTCTAGTGAGCTTCATTTAAGTAATTTGCACGCACATCACCAATCCATAGCCACAGCAGTAGCAGCTCAACACATGAACACCTCACCCTGGCATCATACTTCATCCCTTCATGCCTCACCTTCTGCGGTTACAGTCCACGGTATGGCTGTGGCTGCTGCTGCAGGTCACCACACTCCACATTCAAATGGTTCCTCACCCTTGAGCCATCATCAATCCCATGTTCCTTCTCATCATCATCCTCAGCATCATCATTATCCCATGAATAGTATGTTTGTCCATACGGGAACAGGAAACGGCCCTCAAACGAGACCCTCTCCTCACCCGGTACTCCATCCAGCCATGAGGGGAGACCATTCCTTGTCCAGTTTATCTGATCTTTCGGGACACGATCGACCCACCCTCGGAGGCCTACATCATCATCATCATCACACTGATCATCCTCACCTTCGCCATCCAGGATCAATTGGTTCACTGGGCTCCTCTGGTGTAGGAGGTGGCGGTGGTGGTGGTGGTGGCGGTTCAGCTGGTGATGGATCGGGAGAAGAAGAGACGCCGAGTTCAGATGATCTTGAACAGTTTGCGAAACAATTTAAACAGAGACGCATTAAACTCGGCTTTACTCAGGCCGATGTTGGCCTTGCCCTAGGAACCTTGTATGGAAATGTTTTTAGTCAAACCACTATTTGTCGATTTGAAGCGTTACAGTTAAGTTTTAAAAATATGTGCAAATTAAAGCCGCTTCTAGCTAAATGGTTAGAGGAGGCCGACTCAACTACAGGGTCACCAACTTCAATTGATAAGATTGCCGCTCAAGGAAGGAAACGTAAAAAGCGAACCTCAATTGAAGTATCAGTGAAAGGTGCGCTGGAAAATCATTTTCATAAACAACCTAAACCTTCTGCCCAAGAGATTTCCAATTTGGCCGAAAACCTTCAACTAGAAAAGGAAGTGGTTCGAGTTTGGTTTTGTAATCGAAGGCAAAAAGAGAAACGAATGACACCTCCAACAGGTCAACTAGGTCAAGATATGATGATGTCCCCACATGATGGGCTTCATGATTCACCTCCTCTTCACCATCATTCACACAGTCCACTTCACTCACCTCCTGGCCACGGGAATGGAGCTAATACAATGACCCACGGACAAAGTTTAACAGCTCACTGATTGATTATTAATTATTATCATTATGAATAATATTATATTATTACAATTAATATTAAGAAAAAAGCAACACTTCGCAACACCACAAAAGACATGATAAATGTTGTATAAAAAAATAATTGAAACAAGATGAAGATGAAATTACCAAATCAAAGAGGTAAGCATTTCTCACCTTTTCACCTTTTCCTTTCACTTCAACTTTTCTATTCATTCAAATGCTCTTTTTGCTTGAAACACTAACAAACACCTCACACATTTACCTTTTATCAATCATACGGATGAATTATTTCTCTATATCTTGGTGATAACAGAATGAGTAAACTTAATGTGAACAGAAAAAAAACAAAAAAAAAGAACGAGAAAAGTAAAACATTCTATTATCATGATTAATTCAAGACAGATAAATAAACATTCAACAGTCAGAACATCAAGGTTATCTTGATATTTTCAGTTGAAAAAAAAAGTTCACACATTTTTCACCATTTCACTTCTCACAACTGCAAAAACAATTTAAAAGTCATCACTAGATAGACTGGAAAACGTTGAAATCCCAAAAACTAGTCTAAGTTTAGTGACAGCAAAAGTCGTCAGTTTCTTGTTGAACATTGGATTCGACTGGAATCGATTTGGTCGAAACTTTGAAACTAAAATCCCTTGAAATGAAACTAACAACCAAAAAGAGCAAAAAGGCATTTTGAGTGAAAGTTGATGAAAAATGTTGACCAAAAATTGGACCATGAAAGTTGACCTTTATCCATCTACATCATTCAACATCTCTGTCTCTCTGTTTCTTCCTCTATCAGGGCCTGTTCTCTCTCTATCTCTCACATACATACAAACACAATTGATCCCTCAAAGACGATCTCTCGCTAACCTCAAACAAACAAAAATTGACACAAAAAATGAACTTTAAAAACGAACGGAATCAAAATGATGTTTCCTAATCTTTAATCTTTAACCTCATCAGAATGGTGTTGGTCAAATTGAGCAAAAAGATTTGAGCAAAATCCGTTTGCGCTAAGAAGATTTGAGCAAATTTTGCTCAAAAATTGTTGATAATTTTCAGAAATCATTCTTAAATTTTAGATCATTCAAGATCCTACAAAAAATATATCATATTATTTTTGTAATCGATAATAACATCTAATGAATGGTCAAAATCAATAGAACTGTCGATAAACTGAAAAAAGTGTTAAAACGATGGTGTGTACCAACAATTTTTATCGACGAATGATAAGTTTAAGCTCTGACTTTTACGGCCACAGAAAGCAGTCGATCTAACTGAAAATCGAAGTGATCGGCTGTACATTTTCTGATTTTTCATCGAAATTTACATTTTTAATTGAGTTTGATGAAAAATCTGCTTCCATAATTGAACAAAAGCCGGTGAAAGTTTCAAATTTGATCTCGATTATGACGAAAACTAAACCTGAGTTTAAAATTGTGTTTGCTCTAATCAGTTTTGCTCTTGAATGTCTTAGCGCAAAAGGTTTTTGCTCAAAGCTCTTTGCTCAAAATAACCCAAATCCATCAGAATAATAAACTTTCTGTTCCTTGGTAAAACATGAACGTTTCTTTACCCTTTTCTTTCTTTAAGATGTTAAGCTCTATTCTTTTTCCTCTTCCTCTGTACACATTGTTCCATATTGTCTATCTTCTTCTTCTTCTTCTTCTTCCTCTTTATCTTTATCTTCTTTGCTCTTTTCTTTACCTTTTACCTGTGGCTACTAATTGCCCAAACACTTTCATCATCGATATTATGCTTAATATGAAAACACAAAATCAACAACAGAAGATACAAAAATCAACAAAAAATCGCTTATAAATAAAACTTCATTAACGTAATTTAATTTACAATAATAACTTTCTTTCCGTCTCTAATCTCATTCGGTAATCAAATTCAATATTGAAAATCAGATAATTTACGCACACACACACACACACACACATACCAAAGCAATTAGATTATTTCATGATAAATTTTTCTTGCTCTTCATCAAGAGCCTTTCATGGTTAGCCTTTAACTGGCATAAGATTGACAAATCAGTTAAACATTATCCATAAATTATGATTATTATGATAATCTTTAATTGGGTGATTGATCATCTCTAACTGTCCATCACACACGAATTGCAAGTTGAGATGAAAAGTATGAGCAAAAATTTGAATGAATGAACATTTTGTTTGTTCAACTTTTTCCGACTCAAGTTTCAAGAGAAACGAAAGTCGCAATTTTCTTGAACAATTCAACTTTTAAACGTTTCTTGACTCTTTTTTTCTACTCCATGCACAAATGTTTGGTTAAAAGAGTAGAACCATTGTGAGACTCTGAAACAAAAAAAGGGATAATTGTTGATTATTATCAAGGCAATCTGAGTTGGAAAGAAAATGAGTAAACAATGTAATTCTGAAATGAACAACAGAAAAGAAAAAATTACTCAAATTTTCAGTAGTCAACATGATTCGGCATTAATATTTTCATTATTGTCTCTTTTCGCTCATTTCTTTCTCTCTTTAACCTCAACTTTCCATTATTCTGATTGTGCTTCATCATTGACTCAAGTCATGGTGGAAGAAAAACAAAAACAAAGATGTTAACATTCAACATGAAATGATACGAGGCTCATATGAGTATTGAATTAATAGACCAGAAATCACAAAGAAATAGACTTGGAACTTTACCTAACAAGTAAAAATGAAAAAAACAAGAATCGAGTCGCGAAAGGGAAGCAGTTCACCGAACCACTTTTTGATCGTTAAAATTGTCAAAACAGTTTTAGGTTCAAATATAAAATTACTCTAATTTGTCCATGTTCACCAAACATTTTTATCGACAAAAAATGAGTTTCAGATCTCTAACCCTTACAGTCACTCGAAGTGTCAGGTTTAACCGATTTGTTGTTCCGAAATCAAAATCAATCTCAGTTTAGGCTTGACCCTTGTATTCATCAAGCCTAAAGTCTTATCAATCTCTTGTTAACCAATAAGGCAAAATAACCCGATGAGTCTAGGGTTTAGTCATTTGGTTAAAACTTTGAGTCAAATCTTTAAACTCAAGCAATTAAGCTTAGGCTAGGTTACGTTAGGTTAGATAATAATCATTGAACAAACTTTCAACTACTTTTCAAGTTTAAATTGATAAAGATTGACTTTTTGTGTCAGCCTTATAGATGATCGTTTAACGTCTTTAGTGAAAGCCAAGTTAAAGTGAAACTAGATTTGCCCTTGTAACCAGAAGTCAATTACTTGTTTCACATCTTTACTGCTTGTCGACTGTTTTATTTGTTTTCAGTTGCCATTTTTTGTCATTTACCTTATGCAAAAAGGTAACGTTTTTATCTATCATATTCAATCTAATTTACTTTTACTTGTCGGTCGTTATTAGCATGCAAAAGTAATATTCAGTTAACAGTTTAAAAGTGTTTCACAATACAATTTTCTGCATCAACTGGTGATCACATTTGAAGCAATGAAGATGAAAACGATTATGATGATGATGTGCAAGATGAGAAAAAATAGACGCAAATACAAAGTAACAAAAAAAAAACAAGTCAACATTTACTGTTTAAATATTCAACCAACTGAACCAAATGTGCGTTCATTAACGCAACAATCAAACGTAACCAAAACAGTAACTCAACAAAACAAACAGAAGAAAAGAGAAAAAAAAGTCTGTTGAGTTGGAATAATATTATCAGCTTGATAAAACTTTCACCAAAACTGTTCCAGATAATTCACAGATTTTTCTCGTTTCATGAAACAGAATAGAAGAGAGGAAAAAAACAAATGTTGAAAAGAAAAAAAATTTTTGCATTTGATTGAGTAAAAGAGGGTAAAAAATCAATTCATGATAATGATGACAATTTATAATAAAAGTTATCAAGTTATAGAAGAGATTCAAAATGAGATTCAGAGAAAGGGTGAAAATTCAATTGAACCCTTTCCCAATCAACTACAGTTATTGAAAGTTGAACAAAATTTGAATGAAAAATTTTGGAAAGAAAAATCATTTGAAGGGAGAGAGAAAAAAAACAAAAGAAGAAAAACTGAATTCCAAATGAATTTCTATTCTCGTCTTTTACTCGATCTTGCTTGGTTAAACCATCATCAAGGTAATCTTGTTCATTGCATTGATTCATCTTCCTTCATTTTCCTCCTTTGCTTGGCCTTTGATCTGGCCATCAAGGCTTCTTTGCATGATAAAAGAGACTCTCTCATCTTCATCATTTTGCATCTTTTTTCATTCTAATTTATGCAAATTTTGTTCATTTTCTGTGTGTGTGTGAAGACTAAAGAAGAAAAAAATGATTCTCTTGCATCGAATCACGTTGTATCATTTTCATCATTATCTTCATGAGTAGATATCATTGTTTGCATGAAATTGTATCATCAAAAGGTTTTCAGATTCATCAGTTGATTAAAGATGAAAATATTGAAAATTGCATTTCTAATAATCTCAAGCAATTTACTTTGATTATGCCAAAGTTATCATGATTAAACCCAGGCAAACTTTTCATAATTCAAAAGTCATGAACTTTTGGTTAAAGCATTTCAGTTTCATTTGATTGAAAATGAATATTGAAAAGGTAAAGAAAAGGAAAAAGTTTTCAGAAGAAAAATAAAGTTTTACTCTTTAACTGATTGAACGGAAAAAACAATGAATGTTGGAGAGGCAAATGTGCCAATCAAAGTACTAACGGACCGGATAATTGTTCAACTCAATTTGGAACAAAGTGGTTCAGATAAAAGTCGAAACAAGTGTTCACATTAAAGGATTCACTTCGATAACAGGTAGGATTATCTTACTTTTTTTATTTCATGCTCATCATCATCAACTTTAACTGATACTTGAAACTGTTTTTTTTGGATAAATGTTTATACTAAGGAAACCAGATTGGGATATCAAAACAACAGATCAAAGGATCACGAAAAACTTGTCAGTCAATAAAGACAGTAAACCTTATTTCTCTTCATCACCATCATCATTACCATCATCTTGTTCATCGTTTCTCATCATCGTTTACCAGCAAAGAATAAACAACTGAAGAGAAGAAGAAGAAGGAGAAGAAGAAAAAAAACGTTGAATGATTAGCGTATCCGTGAGGAGAGCTTTAAGCTTTACCTTTTAGGTGATCCCAATTGATATTGGATAGACCATCAAAAGTTAACCAGCAAGTCAACATTAATGCATCATCATCATCATCATCTTTATCATCAGTTTCGTTGTCTTGTTCATCTCTTTTGACTTTCTTCAAACCTCATCATATTGGTCTCATTGAGAGGTCAGATTGAGATTGATCATTTGAAGGAGAAGAAGAAGAAAAAAAGAAAAAGAAGAAAAACATTTTATTCCCTCTCTTTTTTTTCTGACTTTTAATTTGCTCCCGGCTATAGACGGACATTTTCGCTCTCTTACCTGAAACCAAAATGTTGACCCTGTTGACTGTTGACAAAAAAAGGCATTTTGTCAAAACCACAACAGAAGATGAGAGGAAAAGCAAAGGAACCAATAAAAGTGACAGAACTGGGAAAAGAGGCAAAAAGCCAGAAAAAAAAGGTTAAATCCAATCTGGCTACAAGTAAGTGATAAACATTTAATCTTTAACCGATTGTAACAAAAGATAATTAATCTCTGTCAATTGGTTATCTTATACTGTGCTATTAACTGATACAAATTGGAAGCAATTACATGTACCAAAAATGGCAAAACAAAAGGTCTTTTAATGACTCTTTTAAGTATCACTTTTGTTTCACTTGATTGAACTACAAGAGCGGTTAATGTGCAAGTGAAGGACAATAATTGTTTGCCCAATTTGACAGTGTCGATTGTCCAACAAGTTTAACCAACAGATCCGGTTAGGGAAAGGCTACTTAAAAGGTAGCAATAAGTGATCATTTTAAAAGGTTCAACCTCATCAACACCAAGAGAGTCAAAAAATGGACAGAAGGTTGTTGTTCGAGTCCAACATTTGACTTTTGGAGAAACTATTTTTTTCCTCTCTTCTCTCTCTCTCTGCCCCGTTTCAACCTTATGTTACTTTCAAAAAAAGTCATTTCACATTAACCAATGTAAACTGGAAAAGTCCAGGTTCAAGTCTCAATGTCCTTGTTGACTGTTTTACCATGTCCAGTGGTTGTAGTTGCAAATGAAATATGTCGAGTTAAAACAATGTAAAAGTGAGAAGGAAACTGAGAGAGAGCAAGAAAAGGCCATTAACCAAAGAGCGTGTCTATTCGAAGTTTCTTCTTGTTGGTTACAAAAGTCACGGTGTTTGCAACCGATAAACGGGTAAACACCAGCATCTCACCAGGATGATAAACTTATCCTCTTCCACTTTTTTTTCTCACTCATTTCTGGTTCAAACTTTTCCCTGCAATTTTTCTCTCTCTTTCTCTTCTTCTGCTCTCTGTATATTCATCTTGTAATGGAAACTGATTTGTATGCATGTCAGAACGTGTGATGGGAGTGAGAGTCTAGCCTTTCTTTTCCGGACAGCATTTAACACAAACACACTCACACACAGCATAGAGACACGTCAAATGCATGGTTATATACAAGTCGCAAAGAAACTCAATTAAATGTATAAACAGGCAGAAACAGAGGCAACAACATCCATTGTTGCACCTCTCATATTGTTGGTCCAAAAAGGCATTTGTTAAAAGGCATTCAGTTGAACTTGAACAAAATTTCAAGATTTCTTTTTTTTTCTCCTCTTTTTTTTTCGCAATTTCACCTTGCAATGACAGGTCAACCTGACCATACTTTAGATAACAAAAATGACCCTTTTCTCTGGTAAACTCATCATTATGTTTTTTCTCATATATTTGGTTCTTCGTTGTCGTTCATCAATTGGAAACATTTTTCGATTTTTCTTCTTCTTCTCTCACCTTGCACACAATGAAATTTAATAGACATAAGTAGAAAGGAGGTGGAATAGGAGGAGTAAAGTGGGAGGGAATGAGAGACGGAAAGAGATAGATTAATGAGCTGTAAATACATGTTAGTTGAAATGTTAAAACCCATCATCAAATAGGAGGATAATCACAGTGTGTTTATCATAACCTAATATTTGTTATTTTGCTCAGTAAACATGTCTTTACACTTTACAATTGAACAGCAAACACAAAACACATTCACCACTTAATAACTCATCATTATGTTTTAATATTTGATGAAACAAAAAGCATCTTGTTTCACCATTTCCAGTTAAATTAAGTTTTCAATGACAACTTGATTATAACATAAAACATTTTTGAAAAGTTTGCAAAAAAAAATGAAGCGAAATAAAATTGAGAAAAAGATTTTTCTTCTTCTTCTTCTACAAAATTGATTAACAAAACTTATTCCTAACGCTTTACAATGGTAACTGTGAAAAGGTTGAAAAATTAACTCGCTTTCATTCAACTTGATAATTACCTTTGTTTGTGCATTTTTCTTGTTCGCCTCCTTTACCTGCTTGGTTGATTTAGTGTTCAAAGGAGTGCAGTTCAATTCTGTTAATGTGTACATGATTCCTGATTAAACAGAATGAAGAGAGAAAAGAGAGAAAAGAAAATTTCTTGCAAAATCATGTAAACCAGGTTTGGTGGTATCTCAACCATGGAATCTGAAAGTAAAGAGTAATTTTGTTTGAAGAGTTAAAATGGTTTGGATGATGAGCGACGAGGCACAAATTATGTTGAGTGGGAGTTGCAATGAACAAATGACCAAAAAGGTTACTAAATGAGTGTCCAAAAGTTGTCACTAATAACTCAATGATTGACAAAAGGAAAAGGTAGCAAAAAAAGAGAAATAAATTTTGGCCAAAAAAAGTCGATTACGAGGAATATCAAGAGTTGGAAAGTTGAACGGAAAATGAGGCTAAAATTGAAAGGTAAACTCGAGGCTAAGCAAATGATTAATATCGTCCGTTGTGTTGGCGTACGCTTGGATCAACATCATCTTCCAAATCATGTGTGATATCATCAACCATTTTAATGATAATCATCTTTGCTTTTTTTGTGCAAAAAAACATTTTCACCCAAAAAAAGAAGAGAGAGAAAAATGAAGAACGAAAAATTTTTCACTCTTTTACTGGTTCTTTTTACCTTTTCATCGTTACCTTGTTGGACAGAATGAACTCGTCATGAGAATTGAAATTTTCATTGTTTTTTCCCAATCTTGTTTTGTAACAATCACTTTAATTTGTTTTGTTTGCTCAGTCATCGTTAGAGAGAAACTTAAGGCCATCAGAACTTTTTCCTTTTTTACCTTGTTCTTTGTTTGCTCCTGCATGATGGAGCATCATGGTTTTCCCTCAATTACTAGATTCATCATGATGATCAGTTAGCTACACTTTGATTGAACATTTTCGTGTTTTTAGAAAAGGCGAAAATGCCTTTTTTCTCTCTTCTTTTTTCTTCTTCCTACTCTTTCAGTTTTCGTTTTGCTTCTTCTTCTTCTTTTTGTACATTTATCCTATTCGGGTGTTCATTGTTTACCTGTCGAGTTGAGTCGATGCAAGGATGAGTATCAATCTATTAAAGCATGGAAGGAAAGAGCGCAGTTGAAACAAAAGAAATGCTCATTTCTGTCGAATCATGTTTTTTACACTTTTGATCATTGATCCACTGACAGCACCGTTAGTATCAGTTAAGGTAAATTGCTCTTTATTAGCTCTTAGATATTGATCAATGGCCATCACTGACTTACCTGTTTACCCGTAAACATGAGCAACAACAACAAATATCAAGGTAATTCAATAATTTCCTTTTCATGTTATCTTGTGATTTGCTGCAGATACTCAATATCAAGTCACCATTTTCAACCTTGTCTTCATTTCTCACTAAAACAACTATCCAATGTGATATTAATCTGTAATTTCTCGTTTTCTTCTTCTTCTTCTTGTTCTTCTTCTTCTTCCTCTTCAACTTTCATCCAAATGCTCAGAGTTTTTGCAGAAAAGAGAAAAGAGAAAAAAAAGAATCATTTAAATATGTAAACACAACTGATGAGATGATTAGCTGATGAATATCATGTAAATGTTGAGTGAAACAATTGAACCAAGGAAATGGACAGCAACAAATGATTGTAAAGCTCAAGATATCAAGAGACTGATAGAGCAAGATGAGCCAAATTATATTAACAAGGTAAGACAACAAATTAGCTTGATTGATTGCATGTTAGTGACATCTATCAAAATATTTATCCAGTTGAGTTGCAGCGAAACAAGAAGAAAAAAAATTTTCTTCTTCACCAAGAATGAGAAAGAAGAAGAAGAAAAAAACCATCAAGGTAATCAACATCATCATTATCTTCATCATGAATACGCTTTAAGCAAAGACAGGAAAAGGGCGAAATAAAGAAGAAGATGAAGATGAAGAAGCTGTTTGCTTTGTGAAACCGGAAACTGTGGATGATATATTCATTTTTTCTTCTTCTTCTTCTCGTTATTTGATGCTTACTTTGCTCTTCAAACGAAATTTGCGAATGCATAATTTAAATGCATTTTTACCTGAGTTATCATCCTGTTTGAGGCCAACTTTGATTTGTTTCTTCTTCTTCTTCTTTTCGTCTATTTTTCCACACTTTCGTTTAATCTGTGATTCTCTCTCTCTCCCTCTGTGACCGGAATTGTTAAACCTTTAACTCTGCGTAACAAGCGCATCTCTGTAAAGATCGTTATTTAGTAGTCTTTAACTTGGTAAGTCTCTCGGGTGCGGTTCAATGGTACAACTTACCGTGCAACTTTTTTTTTGTTGGTGCGCTCAAGAAGAGGAAATGAAAAAACGAGAGAAGAGAGAGAAAAAAAACTGTAAGATTCTCTTCTTGTTCAATCTCATCTGATTAGCAATTATAATGATATTTAAATGAGAATCCGATGAGATGCAAAGGTATTCACGGTCGATATGTTAAAAAGACATTTGAATGAGTGTTAACAGCAAACTGCGGCTTACCTTTTCTCTCATCCATTGAGAGACTCTTTCAGTAGTCCTTTACTCTCATGGACCATTTTTATGCTGATTTTTGCTCTCTCCTCTTCTGTTCATCCTTCTTCATCACAATCATCATCATCTACTTCATTCATTCACATGGTTCGTTTGTTGTCTGCAAACATCCAATGAACACAAGAGTAGCCAGAAGCTCAACTAGAAAAAACAAAATTAAAGTAACCCTCACTACAAAAGGTATTTGCAATACTTTTTTTTGTGTTGTACAACTTTTAATCGTAATCATACTTTTTTTGTGTTGAGATGCTTCTTCATCTTATTTTGCATAACTTGTATTGTATTTTTGTACACATTTTACATTTTCGTTTTTTTTCTCGCTTCTCATCTCAACTTGCAAGGCTGGACTTTTGCAGGAATATGATGATAATTTTATCCAACTTTGCTTCCCCTCTTCAAAGATGAAACAACAAGTTGACAGAAGAAGCAAAGATGATGCAAATGTTATAAGTATCATCGCATCGGCTCGCGCCATCAAACAGAACCTACATGGGGCCAAGAATAAATAACTTTTCTTCTTTTCCTCACTATTCTTCTTCTTGTTGTTCATCAAACTCTTCAAGGTTTCCTTTCTCTCTCTCTCTTTATAATACTTTTTCAATCATCTTCATCCTCTTCTTTACCTAGTTTTATTTGCTTTCAATTTTTATTACCAAAACTCACTTACATTATAATGAGCAACTTAAAAAATGCTCAAACATTACAATGAAAAGAACATGTTGAAAGATGATGAAAAAAAACAAGATGAGAAACTTCTTTTACAGTAGCATTTCTCTCATCTTGACTCTTCATTGTAAAATCTCTCTTCATCTCACGATCTTGTTAGTTACCTATCTATGCATCTTTTATCTGATTGTCCATCTAGCTTTTTTTCATCATCGCTCATCACTATTTGCTTCTGCAAGTTAATTTCATCTTCATCAGATTCTCCTTTTATGCCATTCATCCCCATCATCATAACCATCATTTCGTTTCATTAGCCGGTTGCGTAAAGGCAATGCAAGCAAAATTTTGCAACCCAACAGAGTTAACCTCTTCCCATCAAGTGCTATACCTATTTAGGGTCATTTTCACACAAAATTTATTTTCATTTTGACCATTATTTTTATCATTCTCATCATTCTCACCGTCTTCGCCATCTTCTTTATCACACTTTATCTTCCAAGTCTTTTCATTTCATCATCATCATCATGATTGCTATTTCATTTACTATTTCATCATTTGCTGATTGAGTCTGTTATCAGGAATGAGCTCAACCTAACAAGGTCAACCCTGTCGGATCAAAGTTGGCTTACAAAGAGAGGCTTTTATGGCATTCATTTACTTGCCGATTTTGCGTAACCTTGGCTGAAGACCACTCATCTTTCAACCTAACAAAGTGAGCCTCGTCCCATCAAATCTGAACCCCATTCAGGGCGCTTGTCACGTTTAAAATGGTTTTCATTTTCATGATATTCATTTCACTAATTGCACATTTTTTAGTTTCACACACTTTGCTATAAGATATTCATCTACATCTTTATTTCATTTTTTTTGTTCAACTTTTGAATTAAAATTTAAATTCACTTAAATTATTTTTCATTAATTAACTAAACCGCTTACATAATTTAATAATGAGTTTAACAAATTTATATATTTCAACTCATTAAAAGTCGATAAATCAACTTTTCTTTTTTTACCTTTTGACTTGGAATCAATAAATTATTTATTCAATTTACTTTACCTTTTGACAAATGTGCAAATGAATGAAGACAATTAATTGATCAACTTTTATCAAGTAAATCGCGACAAAAAAGCAATTCAACTCCCAACAGGTAAACCCGTTAAACTTTAAAGTAAATATTGACCATCATGTAAAATCATTGAGAATCAATGATAACCTTGATCAAATTTGCAGCTTGATTACTGTTACTGATTGAATCACAATGCGATTTCAAGGTTTGCTCATCATCATCATTCAATGAAACTTCATTAACAAGAGTAAAACGAAGTAAAATACCGAAAGTGAACCATAAAAATGAACCATTTAACCCTGAAATGAGAAGCACAGAAAAAAAAGAGTCAATCAGATGATTAAGCTGTTCAATCAATTTAACTAACCAAGCATATAATTTTCATCTAATGAGTTAAGTAAGTTTTAATCAGCTTAGCCCTGTTTATATCGTCCCAATGAGTTATCATTTACTGAATTTCTAATTTCATCATTTTTTTTCTTTCTTTCCTTCTGCATCTTTCAATTTCAACCAACTAAGAAACTCATCAATTCTGGAATTCATTTTGCAAATTCATTCAGCTCAGTTGCCTTCTTAATCAACCTTAACAAACATGATATATTGGCGGGTAATTTAAATTTTCCTTTCAACTTATCAACCAACAAAGTAAAGAAGAAGAAGCAAAAAACAGGTAAAAAATGGAAAAGCGGTAAACAACAAGTTACAAGCATCTTTACTGGTTCATCTTTCAGGTAACAAGGTGAGTATTATTACTTTTGTTCCACTGTTAAAGAGAACAAGCTTAAAGTTCTTTTTTTAAGGTAATTTATGAATGATTTACAAGTCAAGCCAAGTTGAGTAAGAAGATGAAGATGAGGAAGAAAAAGAAGCAAAAAAAGGAGATTGACTTTAATTTATATTTAGCAATTGTAAAAAAAACAACAGCAAAAAGTGCAGAAAAAAAGGTAAAAAATGAATTGAAATGTTTACTGTTTACAGGTTTGGAATGCATTTTAATGGTTTTAAAAGCAAATTCAAAGTTTGAATACTTTTTCACCTTAAAGGTGAGATTTGACCATTTGCACTCAAAACTCTCTCATTTTGCATCACAGAAAGTTGTACAAAAAAGATTCAAACAAAATCTCATCTCGAGGCAAAGTCATCAAAATTAACGTCAAAATTACCAACCAAAACCATCATCAGAATCACCATCAGGATCATCATCAGAATCATCATGAAAGTGGAAGTGCAAATATGCAAAAAGTTGGACAGAAAAAGGTAAGAAGAGACTTTTTACTGAATCAAGTTTCATGATGAATGAAAACAAAATCAAGTTTGTTAACATAATTAATAATAAAAATGTAACACAAAAAAAGGAGAGAAAGAGAAATGAATTGAAATGTCACAAAAAAATGAGAAATGCAATTATATTATTAAAGGTAATTTGGATATCTTTTTATCGTTTCATTTCACTTTTTTTTGTTCAGCTTGTTGTGACAATATTGGTTTAAAAATAGGTTTTCCAGTGTTACACGCTAAGCCTCTCTGTTGATGTACAAACTCGTGAAAGGGAAAGGAGTGAGTGACTCTAGTCGAGTTGCACAGGGTTATTCAGGCTTAAGTTGAGGCTTAGTCAGTGAAATGAATGAATGAATATTGACTATGAGTGAGCCTCTTTTTACACGCAAGGATGATTTGGTATCCCACAAAATGTTGGCTCAATCATGCGAAACAATAGACGCTACTCAACAGAAGCGTAATCACACAAACCCAGCTGAAAAGCACGGGAGAAACAAGGAAAAAAGTGAATTAGCTTTTCTTAACAAAAATCTTTTCTTCTCATCAGTTTAATCATCTTGATGGGTTCATTGGAAAAACATTGCATTTCTTGAAACTTTTCAACTCAATTTTTCACCTTTTCTTCATCTTCGCTCGTTCAATTGTTTTTACTTTTATTTACACTTTTTTGCTTTGCTCATAATTAGCTTAATCGAGGAGCAATTTTATTTGCTCAGTTTTGCGTTTTTGCGTGCAACAAAAGATGATGCTAATGATGATGATTAACTCCTTAACCAACAAGTTAACAAGCTATTTAACTTTTTTCTCGGCTTCCATTTCAATTGTTACTTTTGACTTGTTTGCCAACACTTGAAAATTACCTGTGACTATCATGGATTAATTACATTATTTACAAATAACATTTCATTGATTCAACAATTGATTTGTTTATTGTTTTCCTTTCACTTAACCTTTTTTCTTGTGCTTTTTGGTTAACAATTTGCATTGAAGCAAACCTTGAATACTAAAGCAATAGTCAATTCACCAAAAGTCAATATGGTTAATTATTTATTGTTGAGTGAAACAATTAACTGAAACTGTCATAAGTCAGTTGAGTCGATGCTCAGTTTGTCAACGCTTGCGCCATTAAATTCATGTTAATCATTCTGGTAAAATAAGGCGATTAAAGATACTTTTGGTTGACAAAATTAACTTCATTAAGTTCATTCCATCAATTTTACTCCAAATTAATCTCTATTTGTCATGTAATCCGTTGCAAAGTAAACATATTTTGATATCAAAAACTTCTTCAACTTTTTGGTTACATGCGATTCAACTCATCAAATGGTTCCATTTTTTGAATTAACTTTTCCAAATAACTGATAATTCAAATTAAAATTCACCAAATATTCAGATTAAGCACATGTACTTACCGTCCTTTATCTATCTTATCACAATAACCTGAAGATGATCAACATTTCATGTTTTGATACTTTACTCATCAGGCAACTCAGACACTGAGTTTCAATTTTGATACTCATACTGAATACAGAGTTTTGAGCTTCTCTTTTGACAAAGTTTTTCAATTTGCAAGAAATTTTCAATCAAACTGCAATTCGGGTGAATTGACAGGTAGAATGAGAAAAAAATGAATTTTGAATTAATCAGAAGCTATTATGATGTTATTCAAATTGATCAGTGCTGACATGAAATGATGAATGAAATGTTCAATTGTTTCAGAATTGATGGTTTTTTAGACAAATTTTGATTAACGATTGTCTAATTAGTCTCACCTACTTTCCATCAATTTTGCATATTTCACCGAGTAAATGTTAACCAAAGTTAAACCTGAACATTTGAATTGTCGAAATAAAAGAAAGTTTAAAATTTTCTCTAAAATAGTAAACATTTTACTCTATTTTAAACTTGTAAAGAGTTGAAGCGAACTGGCAAAACAGTGAAATGACAAGTGATGAATGAATTAGAAGTAGAGGGATAAAAGCGAAAGATGTTGATGCGGATAAATTTCATGTTATCAAATTAGCTGATAATAGTAGCTCATCAATTGTTATCTAACCTTTAATAGCATTTGATTATAACTTTTACCAACACAACCGAGAGAGAGAGAGAGAGAGAGAAGGGAAAGCGAGAAAAAAAAGGTGAAACAAATGAGAAAGCAAATCATGATCATTATTATGACTGACAGATTCAAATGAAAGGTTAAACCTTAAACAAAGCAACAACAAAACTGTAAAAAAAAGCAAAACTCAGGTAAACAAGTAAACAAACAAAACGTAAAATTGACAAAAACTCCTCCCAAGTTGTCAAAAGCAACTCAGGTATAACTAACTTTTTTTTTCTGGTAACCCATTATTTTGGTTGTTACGTTGGGCGAACAGAAAAGAAAGCAAAAATGAGTGCAAGAGGAAAAAAGTAGGCAATCATGATGATCATGATGATCATTATCGCTTCTGATGAAACACTGTTTTGAAATAAAGTATCAAAATGTTCAATATTGACTGATGAGGATAAAAGTGTTTTTTTGTTGTTTCTTTTTCTTTTCTGGTCACTCATAGTCAAGGGAAGGGAGTTGCTGTTTACCTGACAACCATTTGACCAGTTAACATCACAAAGTATCTAGTGATAGCTAATTAGTGAAAGAGAGATAAATTTAATTACCAGAAAAGGTTGATTGTTTTACCGAGGGAAGAAGAGACAGAAGGAGAAGCGAAAGCGAAGCAGATAAATGACGATAAAATTGAATAGACTCACCCATTTAATTTTTAATTTTCCCTCTTCTTCTCTTCTCTCTTCATTCAGTCAACATTGAAAGTGCAATTTTTCAGCTCAACGGAATCACGTTTCTATCAACTTTTTTTTTCTCTTCTTATCTCTTCTTCCATTAAACATTAAACATTATTTCCTATCATCATCAGTCTTTTCTTTGTACCTTCAATAGTAACTGGAAGCTAATGATAAATACAATGGGTTGATAACAAGGTAGAGAGAAGAGAGGAAAATATTGTCAACCTTTTGTCAAGCGTTTTGGGTTATCACAAGCGAATTGTATATTTGAGTAAATTTGAGTTGTTATTATGTTCAAACAATCACGAGGTAATCAGAAACCAATAATATCATTTCCTCCCTTTCAACTTATTTGATACGTTTTACAGTGAATATCAACTGCTAATCATTATATGCTCATTATCATCTTTCCCTTTCTTACATTTCATACTTTTTTTGGTTGTCATCAAATGTATCAAAATGGGAAACCACAAAAACTGGAAAAGTCAAATTTTCCTTTCATTTTGTCATATCATCATCATTATTGGTATCATCATCATCAGCATCATCTTTTCATTATTTTCATCTTTGGTTGATCCGTTTGCTTTGCCATCCTTTACGTGATTCAATCCCTTGGTAAACCTGAAATCATTGAAATTAATATCATTGAGATTATTGTGATCCATTGAAAAACCTTTTTACTCCTTTTCTTATCACTCATGACAACCATGCGACCCTTTCAATCATCTCATGTAGTCTGATTATCGCAATCATTATCTTTTCTTCTTCTTCTTCTTCTCCTCCCTGATTAACCTATTCACACAATAATCATGGGTAAGAAGCTGAGCTTGAAACTGGAAATTGATGGCAATTGTCCGCCCTTTATTAAACCATTAAACCGGAACAAAGATTAACATGGTGAATGTAAATAATTTGATTCAAGTCACACGTGCTGTCAACAATATCATCATCCAGTTGACAATCATAATTGATATTAAATCTTAAAGATGAAAATGAGGCGAAAGGCAACTTTAATGATAATCATGAGAAAAATCTTGAAAAACCAAAGTCAAACATAAAGAGAAAGAAAAAAAGAAAAGTCCTTTTCTTTACCCAAAATCAAAGACAAACAAGAGACTCTCATTGGTAAACAGTAAGTCTCAGCAAGTGATGATAAAGGGCGAAGAGAGTAAGAAGAAAAAAGATGAAAAAAATGGAAAAGATGAAGGAAGATAAAAAGCAGTGATTGATCATCAGTCAATCAGTCTCAATTTGGAGGGAAAAGGAAGAAAAAAAGAAAGAGTAAAGAATGAAATTTCCATTAAACCAACAAGGAAAAGTCGGCAAAAAGTTCGACTTCGAAATTCATTGAATGAAAAAAGGGCAACAAGCGCAGTTAGGAAACAGCCAAAGTCAAAACTCAACAGTTTCTTTAAACAATTGGTTTGATCGTTTAATGTAATAACATTGCCTTCCATTCATATGCACAGTAATAACAATAATAATGACTGCAATAAAATAATAGTTGCTCTTCATCATTTCCCTTCTTGACACATTGACTTGAACGGCCCAGTAAAAGAGCACAAATGGACACGAAAACAGAGGAAAAAAGAGAGAAGAAGAAGAAAAAAAACGAGAAAAGTTGTTCGAGGGTTACCTTATTGCACTTTTTTGATACTTTACCATTTTTTATGTATTCACTGAAATCTGTGATACAAACCAGCGTTAAATTGCAAAGGCCATAATGGACTGTCAATAGATGTACAAAGCTGACCGTTTGTTATCAATGATGATGAATGAAGACAATCATTGCCTATTCACGTTCACCTTTGCCTTTTCCTCTTCTCTCGCTCTTCCCTAGTTAACCTATTTTTACTTCAATTGTAGTGTAACATTGCAATGAAATGCATTGAAATTTTGCAAACTTTTCTTCTTCTCTTCTCTCTTTTTTACCTTCTCATTGTACAATTTGTGCTTCTGTTTGTTTCTGTTTAAATAACCATCAAATAAATCATCAGCTAATCATTTAGCAAACAAGTTAAACCAAAAAAAGCAAAACGATTTATAGTGAAAAAAGGTAACCAAAAAGGCCAACTTTCTGTTTCTTCATCTTCTCTTGCCAACTTAACCTTCATTACTTGTTGATTTTTTGGTTAAAGTTCATCTCTTCATTATCTCTTTATTATTACATTTTCACGAGTGAGAAACGTTTTTCC